CGGAGGTATTATTTTCGGAGTACTGTGGAAAGACCATAATGATCAGGTATTCCGTGATTGCCATCTGTCTCAAAAGGACATTACTGATAAGGTGAAGGGTGAGATTAGGTATAAAATCATTGCAGGCTGGAGACAAAGGGTGAAGAGTAGGCAACAAAAAAATTCCCACGAGAAATGAAAGTTGAAAAAACATTCCATAAATAAAAATTCCTTTATATTTATAAATTATCATTCCAATGTTCATCCAAGTCTAAAATTTTCAGTTTTATTTGATAATTTCCCGTCTAAATACGAGCTTTCTATTCCAACTACATCTATTTGTTTAAGATGGAATGAAAGTCTGGACGAGTTGATGAAATGTTTTAATTAAATTTTCATTCTACTACAACAAATACTTCTAATTTATATTGGATTAACCTATTTATGACTGAAAATTCTTACTTAGAATGACAGTCTAATTAAAATATTTCATGAACTCATCCAGACTTTCATTCCATCTGTAGTACGCAGTCCAAATAAGAAGGGATAACCTATTCTTGGAATGAAAGTTTGCGAGTAAGATGAAAAATTTTAAAATTGGAATGACATTTTTTAAGATGGAATGAAAATTTGAAATTTAAATTTAAATTTTACTATAAAATGATTATTTAATTCTGGAAAATTTTTCCGTTGGGCGTAGTTTTAAACCGGCTAGTTGGTTCTCTAGGACGTGGGGGACAAATGCACGCTTGCTTGTCTTTAGACCGGATTGCGTCCTCAAGTTTCCACCGTGGCTTTTGAAAGACTGAAGTCGAAAAGTTAGACTTATGACAAAAGCCTCCGGTTGTTTTTACTTTTCTTCCTCTCGCTTTGGGCTCTATCCCTGCTTCGGGTTTTACAAGGTGTGTTGCCTCTACCCAGGGGAGACTTGCTATCGTTAGGACTTGTAGTTTCTCTTAGAGGCTCGTCACACCGGCTGTCGACTGTCAAAAATTTTCCACAAGTGTCTGAAATTTTTCGACAGTCGGACGGTCGACAATTTCCCCCCCCTTCGCGACACAGGCTGTCGAGGGCCAAGGTTTTTGGGCATGGCCAGGCGGACAGGTTTCACGGAAGTTGACGGAACAGTCCCTGACAACTCAAAATCGAACGCAATTTTCGAAAGGTTGGCTGACCACTGTCGAATTTCCGTCACCTGCATGCTGGTGGAAACGGTTGCTGGGGGGCGGCTGTCGAAAGGACCATTCTGACACCTGTTGAAAGTTTTTTGAGCCGCAATTCTTCGAAAGTCAATGTGGCGATGCAAAATTGTCGAAAACAGGGTTTTCGACAGCCTGTGTGGCGAGCCTCTTAGACTAGGTAGTTGGTTGTTTGCTGCAGCTTTTAAATTGTAGCAATCGTTTGAGTCATTTTGTTTGCCTAGTTAGGGTCTCGTTAGACACTCCTAAAAGAAACCTAAAATTTTTGGGACGAGTCCCAAAGGTTTTTTAGGCGGCGGCGTTACACGTAGTCCTAAAAATTATCTTTTAGGATTCGTCCTAAAAGGTCTTCCGCGGCCAGTTTTCATATTCGGATACGCAGCCGCGTCGCCGATGTCCGTCGGGTCCTGGCTGGTATCCGTGGTACACACTGTGGAGGCCTTGGGCGGGTGAGGAGGGGTGGGTGAAAAGCGCCGTCACCCCGAGCTTCAAAAATTCAAATTCAAATTCTCGCGGACGGATGGCGGCGGGGCGGAGGATGGCCAGACGACGCATGTGACGTACAAAAGACGGCGTTGGCGAACCGTTCGGCGTGGGTATCCATCTTCCGACTCCACACAAGTTGTGACCAGCGGGGGCATCTTCCTGCAAGGCGTATCTTCACCTCCGTCGTGCGTGTTGTCCTGTGGAAGCGTAGAGCAGCGGGTGCGTCGTCGGCTTCGACATACGCCATCTCCTGTGGCAGCGTACGACAGCGGGCGCATTTACGGGTCCGACGTGCGTGGTCTCCTGCGCCAGGGTTGAGCAGCGGGCGTGTCTTCGGCGGCTGTGGCAGGCGTGACACTGTGGGGGTGGAACGATTCCCAGAGATGGACGTTCGCGGCAGCGGGCACGGTCTGCGCGAAGAGGAGATCGACGTGGTGGCGATGTAGGTTACTGCCATCGTCGTGAACACAATGAGCGACGTGTCATTGTCCTCACGCGACATGCCGACGCAGCTCCGTAAACGAAGAGCGCTACTGCTGCGCATTGCCGAAGCGCCGGATTGCGTGGCCATATGTGAGGAAGTCGTCCAGTAGTGTGCCAAGCTGTCATCTGGCGTTTTTCCGTGGCAGACCCCACGTTGGTGGATTAAACGACGGATTGGCGGAGCATGGAAGGATCTCCGCCTCTGTGATGACGCGACGGACGAGTACTACCGCCAGAAGTTGCGCATGTCGATGGCCATGTTCACGTAGATCGTAGCCGTGTGCGCCGTGGACATGGAGAAGAAGGTGACGCACTACAGGATGTCATTGCCAGTGGAGCAGGTAATCGCTTTTGCTTTGTACAGGTGGGCGTCAGGAGAGACGTACGAGAGCGGCACGTCAGCCTTCGACATCGGCAGGGCAACTGGACTGCAGGCCGTCCGCGACGTCACTTCGGCGCTGCTGCAGGCGTACCCCGACACGATCAAGTGGTCAGTTGGCCGTAGAAGTGCACAGATTCTGCGTGCATTCCATGACAAGGGTTTCCCGAACTGCTTCGGCGCGATCAACTGTACACACATTTACATTGACAAGCCCGTCGGCGCACCTTCACACAACAACTACGACCGCAAACGAAAGTTCTCCGTGCAGGCGCAGGTGGCGGTGGATTTGGATCTGCGGATCCTCGACGTCCACAAAGGATACCCGAGAAGTGTGCACGACGTCCGTGTCCTGCACAATTCCCAGCTGTGGAGGCGTGCAGAAGCTGGCGAGTTGTTCGACGCACCTCCGTAGAATCTGTCGCGCGGAGTCGTCACGCGAGGTAACATGCTAGGCAGCGTTGTCACGCGGGGATCCCCGGGGCCCAAGCCGGGGTAGGGGTTTCAACCCCGGAACCCCGCCGCGGGGCTACCCGACCCCCGCCCCCGCAAAAACAACCCCGGCCCTGCCCCAACCCCGCCACCCCCGCTCCCA